CTACTACTTCCCACAGGATCCTTCTTTCAGGTCCTCGTAGCACAGGAGCCTTCCTCAAGGCCCTCGTAGCACAGGGACGGGGGGGGTAGCCACGACTACTACTACTTTTCCAGTTCGAAGGGGGGGGCCCACGACTACTACTATTTCCTCGTAGCATAGGAGCCTTCGTTAAGGTCCTCGTAGCACAGGATCCTTTCAGGACCTCGTGGCACAACAAGATTTTTCTTCAAGGCCCTCGCAACACAGGATCCTTCTTTGAGGTCCTCGTAGCACAGGATCCTTCTTCGTCAAAGCACAGGGAGGGGGGGGGCGGCCACAACTACTGGTACTTTGCGCAGTTCGAAGGGCGGGGGGTCCACGATTAGTAGTTGCTCGTAGCACAGGATCCTTCTTGAAGGCCCTCGTAGCACAGGATCCTGCTTGGAGGCCCTCGTAGCACAGGATCCGTCGTAATGGCCTGTAAGAAGCGTTCGAGGAGGGAGGGGGTGTCCGAGGACCACGTTTCTCAGTTCGAGGGCGGGCTCCGTCTGGAAGACCTTCAGGGGGTTTTGTGCAATGAGAAGAGGTCGCGGCGCAGCTCCCGTGACGACTACGACCTTTCCCAGTTCGAGGGGGGGGCACCACTGGTACCGCTTCCTCGTAGCGCAGCATCCCCCTGGAGGGATCGAGGGGGGGACACGGTCCGACTATAGCGCTACTGCCTCGTAGCACAGGCTCCTGCTATAAGGCCTGTAAGAAGGATACAGCGCTACGAGAAGTACTAGTTATCCCAGTTCGAAGCAGGGAGGGGGAGGGCGCCACGACCATACGACTACTGCCTCGCAGCACATCATCGTGCTTGCAGGCCTATAAGAACAAGTCTGCGCTACGAGAAATAGTCGTGGCCCAGCTGGTCTTCGCCCAGCCCACCGGACGACAACTGTTGAGCTCTGCAAAATACGTATGATTAAACCCCTATGTCGCATAACTTTCTTACGCTCCTGCTTACGCTTTTCTTACGCGACCACAATGTGAGCTTACGGGATGTTGAAGAAGACCTTACGCAGATCTTACGCTTCTGTATTTTCACAAATGAGAACCATACTCCCAAGGGAAATGCTTCCGCGAAGGCTCCTTTTTGCAGGTGAGCGGGCGACAAACACATGATCACTAAGACTCCGAAGCAGAGGAAGCAGAGGATCACTAGCATCTACTTACTGGCTGCCGTGGGCTAGGGTAGGCAAACGAGAAGTTGGCTTACGCGAACCTTACGCGGAGCTTACGCGAACCTTACGCCACCAAACCCTCACAAAACGGAGCCTGGCATGTTATGAGATGTTATGATGGGCTGACTTGAGAAAGGTTTGATACAGAGTGGCAAACACAAACAAGCACAGTGCACACACCTGAAACAAAGTGCATACAATTACAAATGTCAGTTCCCAAGGGTTTCAAACCTCTCATGGTCCATACAGTTCCTTTCTTGACAAGTGTGTGCTAGGAACCTACTAATGAAAACACAACCATATGGCAAGCTTACGCAACATGCATGTCTCACAACTCCCTTACGCAACCTTACGCTTTTCAGGTTTTTGCTTACGTCCAAGTTCCATATGACAAGGCCTTTACTTAGTTCATCTTGGGAGGTTTCTTGCGGTGCTCAACTGTTTCACTTCACAGCCCGAGGTCAGGCCAAGAAGGCCCGGAAGACAGGCAGAAGCGCGAATGACCTCGCTAAGCGGGGGAAGGGTGCAGGCCGGTTTTTCCCTGCAGATTCAGCAGCAGTGGATCCCAGTGCGCGGCCTGCGCACGAGCGCCAGGATCCACCCGCGCCTATAGCAGCGAGACCAAGCCGAATTCGGGAAAGCACTGCGCAAACAGACTCACTACACTGGAGCGGCCCACGCTGCGACCGACGAGAGCAGCGACGAGGCAGCTGCCAGGTCCGGCACAGTGTCCTCCAAGAGCGGTGCGTTGGCAGGCCGCTGGGCCAAGGTCTCTGCCAAGCCCAGCCCATGGCGCCGCAAGGTCGACGCCCAAGACACGCAAGACATCCAGAAAGGTCCGTCTTGCCAGGCCGTCCTCAGTGGGCACCGGGCGCTTCACGGCCAGAAGTGGTTTCGGTCCGTAGGGATTCGTAGTGATTCCACAAAGGCCAACAGA